AAAAAAAATTATTTGAGTTATTTTGAATGTTCTAAGTACAGAACAGAATGTTTTCCACAAATAGTAACTTTGAAGGGCCAGGGAGATAGCTCAGCAGAATTCCTGAGTTCAATCTCTGGTCCCAGAAAAAAAAAAAAAGTTAACTTTGCTTCCCCTTTTCCCATATCCATTCCTGATTTCATTTTCTTATCTAACTGCCATAACTAGGACTCCAAATTAGGTTTAAAAAAAATAAATAATAAGAATCATTCCTGAGCTAAATTCTACTTTAACAGTGTGTCTCGATCTCATTTCAATGTTTATCAGTACATTTAGTGTATAATAATGACATTCATCGTGGGGAGTTGGTAAGTGTACATAACACATCATAACTGTTTTTTTAATCTCCTTCCCTCCCCTTCTTGATCTTTTATCATATGATAAACCAGGTATGGTAGAGCATGTGTGTAATCTCAGCTATTCAGGAGGTTGAGGTAGAAGGACCTCAAGTTTATGTTTTTTTGGTTTTGGGGTTTTTTTTTTGTTGGTACAGTGGATCGAATTCAGGATCTTGTGCTTGCCAGGCAGATACTTAAGATGCTGAGCTATCTCCCTGGTAAGAACTCAAATTTGAGGCCAGCCTAGGTATTTTAGAGAAACCCTGTCACAAAGTGAAATTAAAAGGTAAAGAGGACTAGGGATACAGATCAGAGGCAAGGTGCTTACTTAGAAGATACAAGTCTCTGGGTTTAATCTCCAGAAACAAAAGGTGGGGGGCAAGAAATGAGGGCAGAGGAAAGGGAAGTAAAAAGAATGAAGGTGTACACTGTACATGTACCAATTCCCCAGAATGAATGTAATTGTTATGTACAGCAAACATGCACTAATCATTATTTCTTTTCCTTTTGAAACAGGGTCTATAGTTCAGGCTGGCCGTGAATTCACTACGTAGCCCAAGCTGGCCTCTAATGTGCAGCGATCCTCCTGCCTCTGCCTCTCGAGTGTTGGGATTACAGATGTACACCTCCACGTCTGGCTCTAATAAAACTATTGCAAAAGGTAAAATACAATCTTTCAAAACATTTAACATAATAATACATCCATATAATTATATCTTTTTCTTTAGCTATCATAAGAATATTGCTTATTTTACTCCAACAATTTTTTAAAATTGAAATTACTTTTGCTTTACAACAACATAAAATACTTTTTTGGGGGAGTGGGGTTATAGCTCCAAAGTCTAAGTGCCTGCCTCGCAAGTGCAAGGACCCAGGATCAATCCCCAGTACCACATGCCGTGCCAGGCCCAGAACCAGATACACAGCGCTGTCCACCAACACCGGGCACAAGCCTGTAATCCCAGCGCTGGGGAGGATGAGACAAGAGGATCGCTATGAGTCTCAGTTGCATAGCGAGACACTGTACCAAATAAGTAAATAAATAATTTTTTTAAAAAAGAAACCACCTTTTAAGTTTTGGTCCTTGGGCTGGGTTGGCATAATAAAATAATGCAGTATTCTTTGCTTTTTCTTGTACCGGAACAGAAGTTAGCATGAACAGAATTCTTTCCTTTGAATTTTCCAAGAACTCAAAATTATCAGTTTTGGATAGTTATTCTCAAAAGTATGTTCAATTCCTTTACCACTGTAAGTGTTCTCTTAAGATCTTCTAGTTCCATCATATTTTTGGGCATTTTTAAATTTGATCTAGATTTTTAAGTGTGTAGTATATAATAGCATTATATTCTTGTTTGTTTTGCTCTCCTCTAAATCTGCCGCTACATTTTTATTTCTAATTTTAAGTGTTCTTTCATCATTTTTGTGACCTAAATGTGCCGGGGGTTTGCCTATCACACTGACACAAGAACAACCTGAAAGCATTGTACTGGCTTCTGTTTGCTACTTCTGTGGATTATTTTTAATCTGGTAAGATAACTTTCTTGTGTTGTTTTGTTTTGTTTTCCTATCTTTGAGTTTTAAAAAAATATATTTTTAAAATTTTCTTGAATTGATTAATAAGTCTATCTGTCCTCAAATTTCTAGATTCTATAATGTGGTATACAAAAGGTGTAAGAGTGGTTTACAGATGAACCCTCATTTCAGAAAAAGAGGTACTATCAGACCTTGGGCCTCCTGATATACCAGAAGTACACACATTCTTGTCAATGGACAGAAATTCAGAGTTCAGAAGAACATGATAATGATAAAAGGAAACACTTAGCAAAATCCAGGCTATGGGAAATTCCTCAAGACAAATAAATAGGTAGTATCTTGTAAGAAAAATATGAGGCCAAGTTATAGATTAAAACACACTTAAAGATCGCAGATATAGCTCATGTGAGGTCCAGCCTAGCTTATGTGAGGTCTTGAGTTCAAACCCCATGTCACTAAGAGGAAAGATGGAAAGAAAAAGAGTGAATATGAGACAACCAAGGAAACTCAGTGTCTCAGTTACTCTTCTCTCATTGCTAGGACAAAATACCAACGCTTAAAATGAAGGAGGGAAGGTTTATTTAGCTTACAGTCAGGGAGGTTTCAATCCATACTCAGCTGGCTCCAAGTCAGAGTGGCACACGGAAGAGAGCAGGAGTTCGTGGCAGCGGCAAACAGCAAAAGCAAAGGAAGTGGCAGCAGCTCAGGTAGCTAGCTAGCCTCTCTCCCTAAAGCACACTGCCTGCCCCAGGGTGGAAGCAGCACCCACACCCACACTAATCAATCACAAACTCTAGAAACCACCCCATGACTGCGTGAGGCTTTGGAAGGACACCTATATTCAAACCATAACACTCAGATTAGCTCAGTACTTAATAATATTAAGAAACGGTATAATGGTAGTACCTCTGTAAATACTCACCTCTCAGAGATATAAGCAGAAATATTTAAAATGGAATTACTAGGGGCCAGGGAGATGGCTCAATAGAATAAGCGCTTGCCTAGCAAGCACAGGGCCTGAGTTCAATCCCCGGTTCTGAGAAATAAATAAAT